ATCTAATTCTGTGCTTTCTGCTATCCACAATATTCTGTCGTCCACTGAAGAAATTAATGGGACATGCGTATACTGTCCAATAGCATTTGACAGGGCTTCTGCAAGAACTGACTTTGACGACCTTGCAGAAACTCTCAAATCATACGCTTCACAAAGGGAAATCAACTGCGCTTTGCTGTAAACTCGCGCCAGTGGACCAGTACCTTGGTGCTGATGTAAGTACGCAACAAGATGATCATGAGACACTTTCTTGTTGTCACTTCGGTCCTTGAGAATTTCCTAAAAAAAAAAAGAGCCCATTATATTAATTAAAAACTCTGTTCTTACTAAAAGCTATTAGCTTGTTATATTGATATGGTTTAAACTAAAGATTTTAATGCATCAGGAAAGGGATTCACTAGCATGTCTCACACAGTTACCACAAAGTTTTCCTCTTTATGGTTACAGGGTTTGCATGTAATGACTATATACAGGCACTTTTTAGTCTATTTATTCTGTAAATAAATTTTTAAAAAGCATCACATTTGAAAAGGGTAAGAACTAGATGCAATGTTATCATTAAGTGCAATTTTAAAATAACTGGTGTTTTTAATAGCACATATTGGCCATTTGCAGTTATAGGTTATTGGATGGGGGAGGGGGAGAGTGCTACAGGTATTTTGCGAAAAAATATATGCGTAACACTTTGTTCCAACACTGCAGGTAAGGTCCTTTTCAGGGAGCAAAGATATTCCTCTGACTTCATGCTACAAGACCCAACCTTATATCTGCAAGCACTTTTAGAAAACGCTGGTCCTTTTCGGATTGATGCATCAATTTAGTAAGAGCAAAACGATGGCTTATCGCAAAATCGAATAAGGGAGATTTAAACATGTAGCATCCATCGTCAAACATGTTAGCTGTTGGCTGTACCTGTAAAAATGCCCCAACAAGGATGATCTGTTTTCCTGCAAATGGAAGGGTGCGATTTATTGGGCTGTCTGTCAGCTCACGGTACATAAAGTTCACAAGCTCAAACATCCTTTGGCTGGACATACTCGCTTCCTCCCATATTATTACATCTAAGGACTTGACACGATTGCAAACTAAAGAATTGCCTACCGATCTGTCAATCAGTTGACGCCATGGTAAATCAGCAGTCATAAGACCGTAGAACGAGTGAATGGTTGATGCTAACCTGTGATCATACACTTGGCAAGCTATGCCACCGGAGCAGACGATACCGACATTCCTTCCACGAGCATTTATGGTTACGATTATCCGCTCGGCAACTTCGGATTTCCCCACTCCTGTTAGTTCCGTAATCAAAAGGTTGTTGCCCTCAGCGGCAAAATCAACGATTCTTTGCAGATAGTCATTTGGTTGAATCCTGAAAACCGCCAAGAAATCATTACAACTTTCAAAACGCGCAACTTCTGTGTCCAGATCACTGACCATAGCCCGCCTTTCAGGAATGATAAAATAAACGACAACATAACATACTTACATCGTTACGCAGAGGATATTTTATCGCAGATTTCATTCATATTCATATGATTGACTTTTGACGTTTTCGTTGTATCATATTTGCGTCCACCCAATCTCACCACGCCACACTTTGAACATGTCAGCCATGGCATCAAAGCAAACAGATGAACTTATTCATTATAGTGAGCATGCTTTCAAGAGGACATTTATCTATTTAGAGTGACCTTTATCAAAAGCACCCTCTGGAAAAAAAATGGAATCACTGAAGGCTAGTGGAAGGTGCGCGGAAATGTAATTCATGCGAAACCACTCTGATGCGGCTATGGGGAGGTCGCTGCTTGCTAGCTTTCCTTCTTTGTTAGGCATCAGTCTCCAAAAGTGAGCGTCAAAATAGGTTTTACTTAAAGCCCTGGCTAAACCATTAAACATTTTAGTGCAACATCGTGTTTGCTAAATGCAATGTTGGGTTGCTAAATGGAAAAACATTGTTTGACCAAACATCAGATGAAGTGAGTCCACAGAACGATTTGTGCAGATAACTTCTGGTTCACTTGGTTGCTTTTAACCGGCTATGCGTGCTTTGTGGGTTTGGGTGGCGAAATGTTGGACAAAAATGTTTGATCTAGAAAACCACTTCAATGTAAAATTGACAGAGGTGGCTAAAAGGTCCAACATGTTCTTCCAAGACAATGTTGGATGAAAAAGTTTGATCGTTTAGCCTGGGCTTAACTTTCAAAACCTTTTGGCTTGTCAAGGTACTATTCAAATGAAATATAATGATCAATCTCTTGGAAGTTCAGCCGATCTCGAGCAAGCAAAGGCTAATTATTAATTATTTTCTGGAGTGGGGGTCAATAATTATTTTCTTTCCAGAATACTTGCGTGTACAGCCTAATAATAGTGCGGGAAAAATCACGTGATGACAGGACACGACCTGAATTAAGTTATAAACAATTTAGACCTGTGGAGAAATCAGCAAATCTGTGAAGGATAAACACTGGATAGGCCAGAGAGCTAAAATCACTATCATCAGCCCAGCTATGATGTACACTCAATCCGTCTAGGTCGTCTGTAATAAGCAGTACATGTTCTGGATGGTAAGATGGATTGCAGTTATTGGTTGATAGACTGTTGATGATATTCTTTGCGGAAACTGAAACATTAAGAATACACTGCGCTACAGATTCTGTACATACATCATTGATGTTCTCTGCGACTAACAATTCAGGAGACGAAGGTTGAGTTGTTTCTCGTTTATACTTTGACAAGCAGCAGCAACAGTTATTGGTGAAGATGCAGTCTTAAAGGGGGACCACGATGTTTCGTCAGTTGACACAACATTTCTCTGTGCAGGCTGAATAAAATGCACCTTTGCGCTACACTTGTGGTTCATATTAGGTACCCTGCAACTTATACTGTAGAACGAAACTGTCAGAAAAGCTGCTGCTAATTTATCGAAATTCGTGTAGTTCCTGGTAATAGTGAATGGTTTAATAGTCGGTGTATCTGTTTCAGTACCAAATCCCGGTGGAATACCTGACAAGCAACCTTTCTTGATATGCTCTGTTAAGTTTTCTATTTGTTTAAGTTTTTCTCACATCAGGCACAAAGAAGGGACGTTTCTCCACCTCTCAAAAAGACTTTCTAAATTAGCTTCTATCTCTTCCTCATTTCCAGTATCTCGTGTAGGCACTTCATCAAGATCGTTCCATTGTCTAAATGTGAAGCCAAACTCTTCCAAATTGAAATCTAAGGGGCGGGTTCAATGGTCCTCAGAACACGTTGGCATGAGTGGAACAAGTCCAATTATAATCTCAGCGTCTGGGAAAATTTTCAGATATTGATTTTTAGACTTGCAGCAGTCATCTATGCATATCATGGCTAAAGATGTTTCTTTCCTACCCAGTCGTTGCTTTAGGGAAGTCAAAAGATCGCTAATCTCATGGAATGCCGAAGATTTAGTCAACCTCCACTCCACAATTTCACCATTTTCGTTAAGAACACTACAAACGTTCTTGAACAGCGACACGAACTTGTTTTTCTCTCCTTCACAAACAAAACCAATATTGAGCCTGATTTTAGAAGTGTGATCACAAGATATACGTGTAGCTGAAATGTTCTACATTTTACTTGTGTAGAAGTTTTAGTAGGTTTTGAAGTTATCCAAAAACAAATTTGTTGTCTGATCACTGCTAGGAAATGCAAACAAATCATTTGCGTAAAATTCAAGTTCATCAAAGGTTTCATCTTCTATTAGCCCATCTCTTATTGCAGGATTGTGCATTTCACCAGTCACATGGACTCGTCGTGATTTAAGCCAGCCATTCCTTGACTGATTTTTAGGAAATTCACACCTCCATAAATTTGATTTTTTATATATAACAGCAGCCTTTTAGAGCATCCACTTCTTTGAAACAATTGCATTGGAAATAATTCTCTTATACTCTTGGGTAACACGTTTCAGAGATCCAGAGTTGTACCATATATCTTGCAAGTTTTGATAGCACAAACAAATTCTCCGAACGAGTAGAACGTTGCCAAAAAGGTCATGGACCAGCCTTGGTCTCCTACCATTGCTTTCACCCATGCTGTTTGTCCACTTCCAAGGTTGTAAAGGGACCTCTCTGCGTGTTGGACATTTGAGCATACAAACTGCAGGGTACTGCTCTTGGGGGCTCCACACGAGCGTTTTTGGAAGTAATATAGTCTGCCTCAGTCTTCCAATCGCTGACACAAGAGGTTCGATGATGCCAAAGAAACGCAATCCCTTGCATCCTTTTCAAATTTGTCAGTCAGGTCTTTGATGTACAGCTCGATATCTTTTTTGTTTTTCAAGCTGTAACAACAGAAACATACGTGCACCAAGAGGAAAACGACTATCATAAAGGCCTGTGACTGCCGACAGTTAAAATTAATGGCCGCCAACTGGATTGTTGTATGTCGTGCTTTCTAAAATCTGCAGCCTCTGTTACTACTCCTTCGTCTCCTTCGCACCAGATAAAGCGTAGCGCAAGTGGTCGCTTCGCCAAAGCAGTGAAAGGAACTTCTAATAAAATGGCACTGATGCAACAGGGATACCGAAACTACATGGCAAAACGAAAGCTGGATTTTGAAAACATAACCGACGAAAACGAACCACCCTCTAAACGCAACAAAGGGAGTACTCAGGTAAGCACGGTGGTGACTTTTTATCTTTACAAAAATTTCAAAAAAGCTCTATTTCAGTCCTTTGTAAAACTTACCATGCAAACCAGTCCAAAAAAAAAATGGATAATGCACTATATTCTGCACATACATATTTTTACCCCCTCTAAGTATTCATTGTTTGCAAGTGACCAGTATTATTTCCATTTACTCCAAGTATAAATTAATCCCCAAGTTTGACAACCAAACCCTCTTAAGAGCATCTTGAAAAATACTACGGGTAGGAGCAAAAAAAGAGTAGGAACTTCTTATGCTAGAATACATCAAACATGCTAGATTTTTTATTCACACAAAGCCTTTTTTATTTCAGTTTAGGTCATTTAGGTCCACTTTCTTTTTACAATGTGAGGGATGAAGTACGCCATGGCCTAGCTAGCACATTTGTGATTATTTGTCCAGTCTGTGGAAAAAACAACGAAACAAAAACTTCTGAACAACACAAACCTAGTCAACGTGGTCCTCCTGCTTTTGACGTAAACACACGAGTGGCCCTTGGTTGTCTTCATGTGGGTATTGGCCAAACCCATATCAACAATTTGCTCTCTACTTTGAATGCCCCAACTATAATTCTGTCACTCTCAAATTGAGGGAAAGAGAAGTAGGAAAAGCTGTTGAAGGTGTTGCAAAAAGTAGCTGCCAGATTTGGCTGTAGAAAAACAAGAAGCCCTGCAAAATGGTGTTCAGGTTGATGATAATAACCTGGTTCCTATTTCATGTTCCTATAAAATGGTCTGGCAGAAACGCGGCAAGGGCCATAACTCTCACACTGGGCAAGGAGCAGTTATGGGGTTATCTTCTGGTAGTGCTGGACTATACAACAAGGACAAAAAGTTGTAGATTTTGTGACAGTGCCAAAGCCATGGGAAAACAACCCAAAGCTCATGACTGCCGAAACAATCACGAGGCTTCGTCAAAAGCAATGGAGCCCGCTGCAGCAGTTGAATTGTTTAACAGAGCTCCAGACCAAAGTGTTAAGTTTTCAGTTTACACAGGTGATGATGACTCCACAACAGAGGCACACATGCGAGAAAAAGTAACCAATGAGGTTGAAAAAAACAGTGACATTATACATATGAAAAGATCCCTCACAACACGTTTATACAGCCTCAGTCAAAATGAAAAATTTGACAATTGTTCCCCTTTATCTCAAAAGGTGATAAATTATTTAGTGAAATGTTTTTCATACTGCTACTGCTCAAAACAAAGGAGATTCAAAAGGGATCCAGGCTGCTATTAAGTCAATTGTTCCCCACGCCTTTGGAAATCACTCCAACTGTGAAACTAGCTGGTGTAAATTTAAAAGCAACCCAGCAACCTACAAACACAAAGAGAGCTGCCATATGGAAAAGACCTGCATGGAAAAAAATTGGACTTAGCACTAAATAACATCTTCAGTGACTACTTTACTGATGCTGTGGCAGAGAAGCTTGCACCCTTGACAAATTCCCAGCGAAATGAGGCACTTAACAGTGTAAAATCAGATTCTATGGTGGAAGTGAAAGCAATGATTTTCGTGTGGCCTGTGGAGTCACTGAAACAAATTTAAGATATACCTATATTAGCAGTACACTTGAGGCACTCAATATTGAGCCTGGCAATTTCTGTGAAATGTATGGAGAAAAAATGACTAATCATGTTCAAAAAGAAAAACTCAGAAAATCTTCTTTCACTTATAAACGGGGAAGAGCCAATGCCCGCAAGCAAAACAGTGCACAAACTGCTGAACCTAGATCTGAACCTAGATCTGAGCTTCGTGCCTGCAAGTGCCCTGAAAGAAATTGAGACCATTGTTTCACCATACACTCCACGACCACTGGCAACAAAAGTGAAATATGATGAAAACAAGTTTTACAATTTCTTAATTTTTGACACTGAAACAAACACTACAGGAAAATCTGCTGAGTTCTGTCAATTATCAGCTACTGACCAAACTGGCCTTTATCAATTTTCAACTTACACTTTACCTGTCCATGACATTGATCGTTTTGCTTCAAAAGTAAACTCAAGGTAAATGGTGAAAGGAAACTTTACAAAGACAACAAAGAAGTACATACACTACCGTTGAAGGAAGCAATAAGAAGTTTCTTGGCTTTGTTTCACGGTCAGTAGAAAGAGCCAAGTCACGCACAAACAAGAATGTCGTAACGGTGCTCCTAGGTCACAATTCTGTCACATTCGACAAGCAGTCCTGTTAAGAAATTCTGAGAGCGACTTTTAAGAAAGATTACAGGCAATGGACGTTTTCTCTGCCGATTCTCTCACGTTGTTTAAAACACTTGACAGAAAAAAAGTTTCCTTCTTGCAAAATCCTAATGGAACCTTTCCAAAGATGAACCAATCATCATTCTATTCTTTCCTGTTCCAAAAGTCCTTCAACGCATGAGTTGAGTCTCGGATAGACCTTTCGGAGAAAACTGTAGTCAAGAACTCCAGTGTTGTAACTGCAAGCCACGCAGCTGAGGACGTGATTTATTTGGATCGCTGCCATATTGTAATGCAGACTTTCAAAGGAAATCTTCATCATTTGCAATACCTCAAGAAGAACATGACTGAAAAAATATGCGGAAGCGGGCTGGCATTTCAAGATCTCCAAAGAGTGTACAGCAGGTTTGGAAAAGAGGGGCTTATTGCAACACTTTCCCAACCACCTTCTTCATCGCCTTTGCAATCACCACGAGTGACCACCACCGCTCGAATTTTCACAACAATAGTCAAGTACTTTGAAGAAAATAACTAGTGTAAGCAACTAAATAGAATTTTCCATCTTCTCGTTCCATAACTGGTGAGATATCACTGTAATCACTGGTAATTATACTACTAAAATAGAAAGCACGTGTTCAATACAGCTAAGTCATTATGCGGATGCGGGCGTGATGGCTCGCGCGCACATTTTACTCACACGACCCCGAACCACGCGTGTTTTTCGGATTTTTGTGACGTCAACGCAGTTAATTAACTGTTAATTAATTGTCCAATTATCCATAGTCTCTCAAACCGAGCAATGTTGGAGAGACTGGTGAATGCCACATTATGATGCAACAGCTAATGCAAATACAGTACACGAATAGGTAGGTCTATTTGTTTTCCAGACCTAATCTACGGTGATCAAACATGATTGCTATTTTTGGGTGTACAAAGAAGACTATTTAATATCTCGATGTAAAAGCTGTTTCACTCTTGGACTGTCAAATTATTTTTCTCTAAAATCACTTAGCCTTTGCCTCAAAAGTCAAATGAATGTGCCCTGATCTGTGGATTACAAGTTTAATGTTTGATTTAAATTATGAATTTATTAACGGGAGCTTTGCTTTTCGCCCTGGCTAAATCTATATATTATACGATTTTTTAAGGGAAATCGCCAGTCTGAAACTGAAAATGAAAGTGTGTGACGCTATCCCAGGGACCATAAATGTTGTATCCGAAGAAAATGCTGCAATCAATGAGAATAATAGGTTTACTGAAAGATTTAATTTCGAACTGGCTTTTAATCTGCCTTTAAGTAAATTGTTTAAGGCATATCTATCGGTAACACTGGCGTGACGGGCCATGTAACGTTATTTTTAATCACGGCAAAGTCACGTATTTTTTGCAAAATTAGGGTTGAACTCAATGTCTTGCGGGCTACTTAAAATCGTTTGCCCAGAGATTTGTTTCGATTTTCTGATAGATTGGGGCCTAGTTAAGCCGTAGAAAGTCAATTTGCGGAATTTTAAGTTATAGCGCATTGTAAAAATTTGCTTTATTTTATCCCTATAATTTTGAATGGCAGAAATAGTAATAATAGCGCCTATTTTATACAATACCTTTTTGGCCACAAAATTATTACAGCTTTCACAAATTTATCGCCTTATAATAACGAAAGGGTCATAAAAACTATTTGTGTTCTTTAAAGGCTCCCAAATCATTGTGGTTTGACCTACGAGTCAATGAAATTTGTGTGAATTTCGCTTTACTGCAAGTGAATGGGCAAAATGCATTTTCTCGAATTTTAACAAAATAACACGTTATTTGGGAAAACTAACTACGGCATGTTTCATTACTCATTTAGGGTTATCGATGAGCCAAATATGAGCGAAATCAAATTTTCAACTTGTGCCGACCGTGGGTTGATATTTACGGAAAGCCACTCTTAAAATGTCAAGCAATATCGTTAATATAAAGTGGCAAAGTTTAAGGACATTTCACCGCAGGAAATTAGAAATATTAAGGAAAAAATGGGCAAAAATTACAAAACTACTGCCTGTTTAAGGATTCGATGTTTCCATGGCAACGGCCTTAATCCAGAAAATGGAACTTGATAAAGGAGCCTTCTTGTATGGGTAACCTTAGCGATGAATCTCGTGAACAAAATCGCAAAGACAAAGTAACTAGACTTCCTTCTGTAACGTATGCTTGATAGGATTATTAGTAAATACTCTAGGGAACCACCTTAATCATTGCCCCCGCAGGGATTTCGCCCAGAAGGCGAAATCCCGAGGCGAGGAGGCACTTTAGTAACTTGCCCGTATATTAAGAAAAGTACTTACACTTGAAATATACAGTCATACAGTCAATGTAGAAAGGACTTTGATTTGCTTGAACAGGGGCCATGAGGAATCGGTAAGTAATGATGACGTTTCTATTGTTTGCGCCCGAAAGTAGGAAATGGTTAGGATGACGTAAAGACAAAATCCCGAAGGGACCGTTCCGGTAGATTTTGTGACGTTTATTGCGAAGCCATACTTCGATACTCTTTTGCGTTACGCAGTGACATTCTGTGGAGCAGTTCTTTTGAAAGTTATGGACCAAAAGACACTCATTAAGCGCAGATGAGATTATAAGGTGCGTTTAACTGTGTATACATAAACACTTGGAGAGTTTGCCATACACGAGTTCACAAATCTTTGATTTATATTGGAAACCTTGCCAGACACTCTTTATCTTTGACCGGAATAAGACTCAGCCCCAAACAAGCAAGACGAGTGAACATGGTTAGCTTATCACTAACGGAACGATGGACGATTACAGAAATTCACGGACAGTCAAATTCTGTGCTGACTTATTTCCTGCTCACAGATGTCCTTACATTATAAAGTTTCAAATAAGACTAGAATGCGCGAGCGTGAATCGATCAAACGTCCTTTTAATTTCTAAGGCTTACTTCCCAGCAAATAAAATGAACTGAATGTAAAAAGTGAAAGAGAAATAGCGAAAAATTCAACTTCTAATTAAATATTTTTCTTATGGTTCACAATAAACTATTCTCGAAACTGAGAATGTTTTGATCAAAGCTGTGTAAATCGAGCTGAAACTGTGAATGGAACCTTGCGTTTCCTGTATTTATCTCACCTATTGTATGGAATATGTGTGAGAATCTTCATTATGAATCGGCATATAAATACAGGGACAGTATCTCCGTTGATGGGCATCGATATTCCGTGAAGCCTCCCTGGAAAGAAGGCTGCCCAGATTTACCGACCAATTATACCACAAGCTTGCGTTGTCTTAAAAGCCAAGTAGCGAGACTGGAAAGGGAGCCCGAAATTCTCGCAGAATATGCCGCTATAATTGACGAACAGCTTCATACGGGAGTAATAGAGAGGGTGGTTGAGTTAGAAGTGGCCCTGAAGGTACATTATTTGCCACATCAAGCCGTGGTGAGAAAAGAAGCCACGACAACGAAGGTAAGGATCATATACAATGCATCGTCAAAGGCGACTAAAACGTGCACCTCTTTAAATGATTGTTTACATGTGGGTCCGTCATTAAACCCATTGTTGTTTGACATTTCGTCGCGGTTTCGAGAGAACAGAGTTGTTCTTGTGGGGGACATAGAGAAGGCCTTTCTCATTGTTGGGGTAGACAAGAAAGACAAAGACTGTTGTTGAAGGCACAAATGTAATAACTGGTCACAAATGTAATAAAGGTCACAAGTGTAATAACATTTGGTCACAATTGTGATACACATGTAAACTAAGCTAAAACAAAAATCACAACGAAATCTAAAATCCCACAGAGGACATTCTCTCCAATGCTTTTACACCATACTGTGCACGAGTATATATTTCTAAAAATTGAAAAATTTTTAAAAGATATCACATCAAATCAAAGGTGAGCTGAATAGCTAAAATATCACAGGAAATTGTATAGGTAAACTCTTTCCTTAGGGGATATCACGAGTATGTGACTGAGTGGGAACCAAGGGGGACT